TTCAGTGTTTTGTGTAGTATAACTAATTGTGTGCATGGGATGATTTTGTGCTTTTGGATTGTGTGCTTCGGATGATTATACGCAACATTTATATACGTTTAATGTACAGTTTCATATATTTAGTGTTGCTTACAACTTTCACCTTACTGTAGCAGAACCCTTCCACATATATTTTTAAATGCATGAATCGGGGGAGGGGGGGACCAAGGAAATTGCTGAAGCTTGCTTCGAGAAAGTAGAAAAGTGAGGATTTTGTGAAATTTTAGGATTCTACATTGTTTCACTTCTACGTGTAAATGTTTGTTTCTGTATTGTGCATAAATTAAGTAGAATAGTCATTCTTCCTGCAAGTGGAGCAATATGCGCTTACTGGTGCATGTTTGAATAGGTGGTATTTTAGCGCTGCCGAAGACGAGGCCAACAAAGAAGAGACACTGGGTACAATGGTAAAATATGTAAGATTTTCCGTCTTGAGGCTTTGACGAAAGTTATTGTGAGACGAAACAGCAATTCACTCACGTAATTTTTGTTTTCACATCGCACAATGAAGGTATTATTTTCAGGGTCAGTTCAGAGTGAAGCACGTGGCAAACGCAAGTTTAAATGGCATGCTGAGGAGACTGAAAGTCGACAAATATTTTCACCAAGGTGATTCTATTGAAGCGCGAGATTTCGTAAGCTAATGCTAACGTTATCTCAATGTTTCTTCTGTATTTGTGACAGAGTAAAATTATTCTTGTTAAGACTGATTTGTTAATATGCTCTCAGTAATACACTGATTAGTATGGACGTGTTTGAGTGTCACGTGAATCTGGCGTCTCCGCCGGTGTCTTTTTATTTTTTTAAATTTTTTATTGTCAAATACTGCAGGCCAACTTGGCCGTAGCAGGAGGGGCAGTACACATATAAGAACACAATGTAATGATGGCTTAATACTTAAGATGGTACGATCTGGAACTAATTTGAACAAGTAACAATTCAAGCATAAAATTAAAAACGCTCATACATATAGAATATAAAACAGCATCAGCACTGAGAAAAGAAATAATCTAACAAATTACATGTCCTTCCAGGGCTTTGAGGAAGTTCGGCGACATAATTACTGAATTTGAAAGTCTGTTCCAATCCACAATTGTTTTAAGAAAGAAGCTATTTTGGTGTGACAGCATTAGCGAAAATTGGTTTCAGTGCATGAGGTCTAGTGTTTCTTGTTCTTCTTGTGTTAAAAGGAAGAGATAGCCACCAAACTTTAGCTACATTATAAATGGCACTGCTCTGAGCACAGTACACAAACACAAATACCTAGGCCTAACAATTTCGTGCAACTTAAGGTGGGACGAGCACATTAGAAACATTACTACATCTGCCATGCAAAAATTATTTATTCTTCGCAGATCACTTCAAATGGCAATATTACCAACAAAGCTCCAACCCTACAAAACATTCGTCAGGCCTATCCTCAATGGTGTCTACGATAGTGTCTAAAGGAACTTCGTCGTGAACTACGACGTAGTCCATGATAAGGCCTTCTAGCCACGGTGTCGAAGGCACTGCTCGGAGAATGTGCATGTAGTGCGACTAAAGCCGTACTTCACGCGGAAATGCAACTGCGCATGAGCCTAAGACGTAATGGCGTCGTCTTGACACACACACACACACGCCCACGCACACGCACATACATACATACATACATACATACATACATACATACATACATACATACATACATACATACATGAAAAGAATATCGGCGTGTTCACTCCATCATTAGGAGCTCTCGCAAGACCACAATTGCTATAGAAGAACCGTTGTGACATACATTCATTGCCATAAAATAGAGGCCAACAGCACTGCGTACACCCATTTCATAAATATGCTTTTGATTGCGAAAGAAGCAGCCATGCATGAAGGCCATTATGTGTTTCTGTTAGATCAACACATGAAAGGAAGTCTTGCTCTTTCTATCGCAAATAAATAAACGCTGTCTGACTCACACACACACAAAAACAAATCTTTGACAACAACCTAAGATTATATAGAAGGTTTATGCTCAGCCGTAAGTACTCAGTCGACCATGTCCTTATAGATGTCCACTCAGGCTGCCATTTAGAGATTATACAGGGTCTAGTGCTTGCGGAAATTAGTGGTCCGATAATTTATGTAGACAGCGCAGCGCTCCTCTATTTAACTGAAGAGCTAAACAAAACTGCGGCAGCCCATCTCATACAAAAAATTATACCAAAGTGCGGAAACAAACCTATGGTAGTGAATAAAGAAAGAATAAAGTGAACTGTAGAACAGAGATAATGACGGGAGAAAGATAAGAAATATTAAGAATGCTGTGTCGAATTTATATACGAATTTTTGCCAGCAGTGCGCACACTCTCTCCCCTCACAAGAAATAAAGACAGATACCCACGATAACACTCTGCAAATCACGCTACTAAATCTTCATCGCCGTTAAAATGATTACGGCATTTCTTTTTCCATGCGAGAAGTGAAATTGCAATATTGCCGGGCTTTATTTTGCTCTTAAGTCTGCATTTCTAAGCCGCAATCTTCCGGCATTCGTCTTACTGCAGGAGAGGCGGGATGTAAAGCATTAAATAGTGCGAACGACACCAGCACTCAAATAAAAAGATTAGGTGCGAGATATAAATCGTAATTTTCCTTCCAGCGAATATCGAGCCACAATTAGTATCTGCAACAGCCAAAGAAAAAACATCATCCTCAGGATCCCACACCAACAAGATGACCGGCAAGTGTAGCCTAGGTTATCAAAAGATCCGTAGCTCAGTAAGACTCACTAATAGAGTAGGATTTGCTTTAGCATTTTTGTTATCAACCATGCAGACAACATAAAGGCAAAACGATCAGAAAAAGCTAAACATGCATTTACAAGTGTTCATGCTGAACTCGGTTTTTTTGTAAAAGCATCAAAGGAAATACTCCTGTTTTCATGTAGGAGACGACGCTAGTGTTGCTCAAGCGTGTTTACTTGAAACGCGCGTGTATTCATCCGATACACGTAATTTTGTTTGAATGAAAAGATAACCGCTAATATGACTGTAAATTATGACTTCCGTTGTCCACATCAGTGTCACGACTTTACGTCCTATGTGCACTGCAGCACGAAAGCCTATTCGAATCATTTTTAATTCGCTCTGCCCTGTTAGGGCCTCGTAATTTCTTGATTATGCACTTGCTTTTTACCCATCGCTGCCCATGGCTAGGTTTTTCATATCTTGGTGTGCATTTCAAATCTTGGTGTGCATTTCGGCACTCCAATAACCACTGTCTGTATTTGGCATTACACGACCTATCCCGGTCTTGTATTGATATACAAATCCCATTAGAAGCTTTTGTGACAAACAGAAAAAAAATTGTTAGCATGTGCGTGCCTATTCTTTCTTAGCCATTAAAAGGATTTCATGTGCGCCAGGCACTTATCTACTAACTTGTACAAAGCAAAGGACAAACACGGCTCAAGCGAAGAACATAACAAATTTTTTTTGACAAATACTAGCGCTGAATGCAAATAATACTGTTTTGTTCTACATTGGACTATTATATTACATATCGTATGAACTGTATTTCAATTGTACTGCGGTTTATCGCACCGTATTCAGCTTTTTGTGCAGGGATTAAACTGACTGAATCTAGAACTAAAGCCCTTGGCAATCGGATTAAACAAGGTGGCACTTGGATTAAACTCACCGGCACGTGGCCTAACTGAGTTGGCGCTTGGAATAAATGTTTGGCACATGGATTAATTGGCTTGGCGCTCAGATTGTTTCAATGACGTGCGCATTATTTAAGCTGGCACTTGGAATAAAATGAGTGGGAAAACCTGTCGTCTCTTGCAGGTACTCGATGCAGCGTGGTTTTGTCTAATGGTACACAATACTATGCAGCATGTAAAAAGCAAGCAGAAATGAATGAATTGCGCCGAAGGAGTGAGGAGAAAGTGGAGCTGTAATGATTATATAGGAAGTGGGTGGATGATACTTTTGTGCTTAAGTTTTGGGGTGCTTGCCGCAAAACCGTCAAGAAGCAACGTGTTCGTATATACGCTTTCGTAGGACTAAGAAAGGCGCCCGATATCAGAGCGCATTTGTGAATGGTGACAATGGTCAAAATACATTCTTGTTGAAAGAACTGTTCATCGCAGTTCGTAAACAGCGGCGTCTGAGCAAGTTTGTATCATGTGGACGGTCTTGCAATAAATGAATATTAAACATGCTTCTTCACCACTGTGTTCATACAAAGAGGTGCCAACTTTCTGCGCTTTTTTTTTAGTATACCACAAAGGCCTCAGTGGCACGAATGTTGTACAAGAGCATAGATGCCATAAAAAGGCTAAATAACAATGTTTTTTTAAACTAAAATTTCAAACACACAGTCCGTTTTGTTGATTATATGGCTGCCGATAGAATATGCTCTTTGAAAGCTGTAAACATTTGATAGTTTGATGAGGGCTACTTGCTTCGTTACTGAAATAATAAACCCTCATAAAGATGTTCTTAAGATATCATAAATGTTTAAATTTTGAAAACAAGGAGCCATCACAAAATACAAAAGGGGATGTAAATAATGATGCCGGTGTTGAGTATTCCTATAATCATTGACACAGCCACATGTGACCCATTTTGACGAAACGCACTACTGGTTACATGGACAAGATAGGCAGCTATACTGCAAAATATTGGTAGTCATAATGAAAATGCAGTTTATTAGGCTAATGATCAGTGCCCAAACAGAAAAAAACTGCACAATCTCGCAGGAGCTCTGAGCATTTCCACGCATATTTTATTTCTCCCTCTCTTTCTCTCCGCACAATTTACAGCCAGCAAGGTTTCAAACCATCTTAAGTGAAACACAAAATTCCACGCAAGGATCAATAGCAAATTTTTTTTTGTGTATCCCGCATGAACTTCGTTGCGCATGTCATTATTCAAAGTGAACACAAGCTAAATAGTCCACTTCATGCGCTGAGATGTAAAAGGCTCAGGCACTCCTTCAACTGCTTCCTAATCTCGCTTTACAGAACAACTCGGCGAAAGCGATGAGGCAGGCCAGACCAAGACCAGCAAGGAGAACGACAAACACGCCGCCGACTGTTCGCAGGCCCAGCTCGCTAGCTGCATCAGTCGTAGATTTGCCGGCTTCGGTAGTAGGACATCCTTTGAGCGGATCCTGTACTTTCCACCAACGATCCTTAATTTTTTGCAGGGTGCCGCGCTCCTGCAGCCGTAGTAATGTTGACGACAGGATGTTGCGGTACGGAGATCCTGCACGAATAAATCATTATATGACATGGTTTATTAAAAATAAAGTTTTATTCCGGGACGCACGAAGACTGCTGTCACGTATTTCCGTCCAGAAAATGGCCTAGAAAAGTGAACGCAATTAAATGGCAGTGCTAATCATGGTCGCATCGACGGGCCTATGTTCACGGAATCTAATTCAGTATTTTTTTCACTTTTGCTGCAGAACATTTCTAAATAGCACTTCCTATTAAAAACCAATGAAATGTTTATCAATTGTCTCATGGTTTCGGCACAATCATCAGTTTACGTCCAAGAGAAAAAAAAATTATAGTTCTTTGCCTTGTCTTCACAGCAAGTGTACCTGCGTGGATCTTAAAAGTGAAATTCTCATTCGCGGAGACACGTATACATTGTTTTGTGGTCGCATACTCTGATGGCGTTACCACCCCTTTTTATATCGTACCCTTTCATGTCGCAGTGATCTGGGTGGGCAGGATGATGTCACCATCTGCAAGCAGCAAAAGGAAGCAATGCATCGTGACCGGGACCTCCGCTATTAGTTCCTGCAGGGCATTGTTCTTATGCTTCCGTTTCATTTGATGCCTTTGCAATAATAGAAGCGCAATTTCGTCAACGTCGTGGCCTACCACGAGTTGGCAAAGTTAGCCCAAGCCTCTACTTGCCTCATACGATCTATCCATACGAATGATAGCTGTACGATGCACACCTGACTTACCTGGCTAAACCTTGATGAAGTGAAGCTTTGGGTTAGTTGGTTTAGCATTACGAAGTACTAACAGCATAAATTCAACACGCGTACACAAGAAAAAACACTGACAAGCGCTGTACAGTCTCTTCTTGTCAGGGTCTCTTCTTGCGTCCCCATGCTGAATTCGCATTGTTCCTAATTCACACTGGCAACAACGTCGCCAATGTAACGCTGTGCTTCGCACTTAACGTTCACCCTCAAAAAGACCGCTGCCAGGCTTGGGGGCGCAATCAACGCTCATTGCATATCGCTCCAAATTGCCACGGAATAGCGTCCTTTGCCCAAGATGTGAGTCCACTCAGAAACACTCTTCTGGCCTTCGCACGAGTTTCTCTGCTTGCACTCTCAGCGGTAACTACTACAGTTACCACAAAACTTTGTTTATTCTTTTATCATGCTGTTAGGTTGTCGACACAGAGATGTGCAATCAGGCGCCAACGTGCGTTTATCTACGTTGAACAGTGCTATAGGTTCAAAGAAAACAACAGACATTGAGCAAGCTCGCTTATATCAACGTACAGTAGGCATTTAAATACTTCGGGAACAACAGGTTTCGCTTTCGCGTTTTGCCACTTGCTGTGACGTCGGAATTACTCGTTCATTTTTGCTTTACAGACATGAACCCAGCTTCGTTTTTACAAAAACTGTGTGCCGGCGACTTGTAACATGGGGTAAATAGCACAATATCGCATTACTCACTATATTTAGAGTACTACCAGACCTGCTTATAAACAACAATACAACACAATCTTAAATAGAAATTGCCGTCAGAGACAAACGCAGCTTTAAATTTTTCCATTGCGTGCTCAATGGCAAAGAAGACATTCTAGAGAAAAGACAGGTTATTGTCAAAAAACTATAGGCAGAGCATATTTACCTGCATACATAATTTTAATGAAATGATAGTACAATAACTTGAATTGACTAAACACTCAATACGTCACCTGTAAGATTTTTGGCCTCTTTATTCACTTATCTTTATTAAACTTGTTTGAAAGAAACGTGCCTTTGAAATTCTTTAAATATTGTCAGAAGAGGAAGTATCATGAAACATAGATCTTAGTAATTACGTATCCACTTGAATTAAACTAGTGCCAATTTTGGTTTCTTGTGTGCATTGCTATTCGAGTGCCAGTTGTTTTGGTTTTCTGTTTTTTCTTACTATTGTACTCCCTCCCTGTTATGACCCTCAAGCGAAGGCTGACAGTATTAGGAAATAAATAAAGTAAAAACGTCATGCGATTATAAGATTGCTGTTTCATAGATGAAAAACTATCTCAGAAAGACACGCTGACATCACCTCCATTACATGGTTATTACATGGAGCTCCTATTGACATGGTGCTTTATGAGCAATGTGTCGTTCAATAAAGTGTGGTTAGCGCACAATTGTGGACGATGCAGCAAGCCAATGCATGAAATATGATAGGTGTAACAATTATATACAAGAAGAGAGCAGAGTGCAGCGAAGAAATAAATATTCATTATTAACATCAGAATAAATAACACGACAAAATGAGCATGGGAGGGGCATGCAGCGTGAGGTCTACCGCTCGAAGAGGACGAAGAAAGTTACTTGGGCGAATGACATTACCGGTAGTCTACAGGAATAACGTGGCCTTAGCAAACACGGCGTCACATCAATTGGTCAAAACAGGAGCCCGAAAGGGGCACCTGTCCTCCTGGGGTGAGTGGAGTCAACCTCATGATAGGGAATATGACAATAATTATAATGAATATGAAAATGAGACACGTTTTACAAATTAAGGCTCACCATGCGGCGTTGCGATGCCGTAACCCTTGAAGTCTAGGAGACCCCCGATCTGCTTGAGCTGGCACCGTCTTCGTGCCACGTACTCAATATTCGTAGACTCCATGAGGAAGGCGTAGCCACCGCGTTCCACACGCTCAATGCCCTCGGTGATGGAAGACACTAGGTCCTCTTTCATGGCGTGCCACATCATCTCGTACGTCTCGTGCCTCCACCCCTGTGAACCAGTGATTCTGTTAATATGAACAAAAATTATTTATTTAAGTGATGCGTGAGCAAGATGCAAATGCTTTCCAACTTTTCTCTTTCAAATAAAATGGGACAACCTCAAAGCGTACCACAAGCGAAGGTTAGCTTTAAAGGGTGTGCTTTTTATTGTGCTTGTTTTTGTGAATGACGATACGTTGACCCATCTGAATATTTTGACGAGTAGAGATTACACGAAGAAGTAAGTGACACTCACTGCAAGAAGTAGTAATAAACGTAAACACAAGAAGAGTGTCTCTTGTCATGGCGCTAGCTTGAAGTGGCATTCGGTTTTTTGAAGAGCACAACGGAATTGGTCTCCAGCAGAGTCGAAGTCGTCCATCCGGCTCGATTGTCACGAAGTTGTAATAAACAAAACACATTTAAAATGAGGCAATGATCGAAGCTAAGGCTTGTACAGAATACATATTGTCACAATGAATCACAAGTACTGGGGGTTTATTAAACCACCGAATAGCTAGCGCTGGGACGAAGCGTCAGTCGTGGCTGGCTCTTGAGTCAAGAAGAGGCATGCAATCTTCTTTCTTTCCTACAGATAGTAGAGCCTCTCTTGCAGTCGACACACTACGTGTGGGTGGCATTATCCCCCCTTTCGAAAAAAAAAGTCCCAAAAGAGGGAAAGAAAAGTGCATAGCACCACACCGATGTTACAACATAGGCACGTGAAAAAAAAAGAAAATGAAATTCGATTAAAGTAAAAGTAGAAATTAACAAGCGTGCCAATATAGAAAAAATCAGTGAAAGAAGAAGCAAGTTCACAAAAATAAAGAAATATCACAAAGAACAGTGTACGGCAAGGAAAAGGTTACGAACAACGCGCAATAAATGGTTTCATGCGCAACACATGAACGACGTCCGGCCTCGGTCGTGTCTTGCTCCGTGCCTGCGATGTTGAGTCCGGAACCACTTCGTATTTCACGTCACTGACGCGGCGTAACACTTTATATGGGCCAGAGTACCGGCTCAGTAACTTTTCACTAAGGCCATGGCGGCGGACGGGCGTCCATACCCATGCTTGGTCTCCGGGGTTGTAAAACACTTCTATGTGGCGGATGTTATAGCGCCGTGCGTCTGCCTGCTGTTGCTGGCTGATGTGTAGTCGCGCGAGCTGCCGGGTTTCCTCAGCACGCTCTGCAAATTCATAGGCGTCAGTTGCCAACTCGTCTTCGTCTTGACACGGTAGCATAGAGTCCAGCATGGTCTGCACTTCGCGGCCATAGACAAGCTGAAATGGCGTGAATCGCGTGGTCGCTTGCACGGCAGTATTATACGCGAAGGTCACGTAAGGTAAGATCTGGTCCCATGTTTTGTGCTGTACGTCGATGTACATTGAGAGCATGTCTGCGATGGTCTTATTCAGTCGCTCGGTAAGTCCGTTGGTATGCGGGTGGTACGCAGTTGTCTTTCGGTGTCTGGTGTTGCTCAGTTTGAAAGCTTCGTCCATAATCTGCGCCGTAAATGCCGTCCCTCTGTCCGTCATTATACTGGAAGGAGCACCGTGTCATAACACGATGTGGCGCATGAAAAATTGTGCTACCTCAGAAGCGGTGGCTTGTGGGTCCGCCTGCGTCTCAGCGTAGCGTGTCATATAGTCGGTCGCGACGATCACCCATTTGTTGCTGCCCGCAGACAGGGGAAATGGCCCGAGAATGTTCATGCCGACTTGGTCGAATGGCGTGCAAGGTGCTTCAATGGGCTGAAGCAAACCAGCTGGCTTAACAGATGGTTGCTTTCGACGCTGACATTCCCGACAGCTCTTCACGTACTTCTGGATGCTTGCCGAAAGTCCTGGCCAATAGTACCTCTCACTCACTCTGGCAAGTGTCCGTGAGTAGCCCAGATGACCGGATGTGGGCTCGTCATGGCAAGCGAAGAGGACGTCGTCTCGCATGTCTCGAGAAACCACCAGGAGGTAGGCACGGTTGTTCGAACGAGCGTTCTTCTTGTACAGCACACCGTCTCGAAGGCAGAACGATGGCAACGAGCGGAATAAATGACGTGGTATGATTGTGCCCTGGCCCTCTAAATGATCGATGATCGGACGAATCTCTGCGTCATCCCGCTGCCGTTTGCTCAAGTCTGATGAGCTAATGGCGCCCAGGAAGCCTTCGTCTTTCCCTGCTACCTGACTGACGACATGGAGGGGTGCGCGTGACAGTGTGTCAGCGTCTTCATGCTTACGGCCGGAATTATGGACGATGGTGACGTCCAATTCCTGCAGCCGCAAGATCCACCATGCTAGCCGCCCTGAAGGGTTGCGCAGGCTTGCCAATTAACAGAGGGCGTGGTGGTCCGTCACTACCTTGAAGGGACGACCATAAAGGTATAGGCGAAACTCGGTGATTGCCCACACGACTGCGAGGCACTCTTTCTACGTAGTGGAATAATTCGCTTCGGCACGAGATAGAGAGCGGTTGGCGTAGGCTATCACTCTTTCGATGTCCTCTTGACGCTGAACGAGCACTGCACCAAGCCCAACGTTACTAGCGTCAGTATGGACCTCCGTGTCAGCATCATCGTCGAAATGAGCGAGAACGGGTGCTGATTGCATGCGCTGTAGCAGTTCATCAAAAGCTGCTTGTTGCTCGTTTTCCCAGACAAACGACGTGTCGTCCCTTGTGAGACAAGTCAGAGGTTCTGCTATATGTAAAAAACCATGAATGAACTGGCGATAGTAGGCGCACAAACCAAGGAAGCGCCGGACGGCTTTCTTATCGACAGGAGCTGGTGTTTCGGCAACAGCGGCAAGCTTGTCTGGATCGTGCCGGACTCCTTCGGTGCTAACTACATGTCCAAGAACTTTTAGTTCTTCATAGCCGAAGTGGCACTTCTGTGGCTTTAGTGTGAGGTCCGCCGATCGAATAGCCTCCAGCACGCTGCGCAGGCGGTGAAGGTGCTGCTCGAACGTGGCAGAGAAGACCACCACAGCATCAAGGTAGACAAGACAAGTCTGCCACTTAAGCTCTGTGAGGACAGTGTCCATCATTCGCAGGAAAGTTGCCAGCTCTGAACACAAGCCGAAATGGAGTACTCGAAATTGGTATAGGCCATCTGGAGTCACGAAGGCTGTCTTTTCGCGGTCTCGCTGATCTACCTCGATTTGCCAGTACCCGCTTTTGAGATCGAGAGAAGTGAAATAATGGGCATGACGAAGTTTATCCAGCGAATCGTCGATACGCGGCAGCGGGTATGCAACCTTTTTGGTCACGTTGTTAAGCTTTAGTAATCGACGCAGAAGCGTAGCGACCCGTCCTTCTTTTTCACAAGCACGACTGGAGATAAACACGGGTACCTATCGCTTCACGTTCTTTAGCCGACATGCGGTAGGGGGTCTGGTGTATTGGGCGTGCGTCCTCGTACGTGATGATCCTGTGTTGAGCAATAGGCGTCTGGCGGATCTTTGAGCAACTTGCGAAGCAAGACCTGTACTCGAACAAGAGCGCTCGCAGCGCAGTCTGGTTATCGGTGGACAGATCAGGATTGATGTCAATGTTGCTCAATAACGTGTCTGCGTTATCCACTATTTCTGACGTGAGACAGTTGGTTACGTTTGCTACTTCGTGGGCAAACGCTATCGTAGTGCCACGGAAAAGGTGTCGATGCTCGTTGCCAAATTTGGTAACGAGCCATTCAGATCGGCCATCACGAACGTGTATTACACTTCTCGCTACAAAGATGCCTTGCTGGAGGAGGTGTTCTAAAATTGTCTCGGCCACCACATCGCCATCGCTCAAACCGCAGCATGTTACGTCGACTAGAAAACTTGCTCAGGGAGGAAGCGTCACGCTCTGTTCAGAAATATGGAGTACATCGACACGCCTTTCGTCATCCTGCACGTTGATTGCTCGCTGGGCTGAGAACGTGACGCGGCGCTCTTGCAGATCAATGATAGCTCCATTTTTCTGTAGAAAGTCAACTCCCAGAATGACGTCATGGAAGCATTCACGTAGAACAAGGCAGCTTGCTACGAATGTACACCCTTGAATCTGTACTCTAGTTGTGCAGGCACCCAGTGGAGTAACGACATGGCCACCAGCTGTCCGAATCTGCGAGTTATGCCACGGCGTGATTACTTTCGTCAGCTGCGTTGTCAGTTTCCCGCTCAGTATGGAATAATCAGCACCAGTGTCCACTAACGCATTAACTACACAACCATCAATTGTCACTGCTATGTCGAGTGAAAGCTGGCTATCCTTTGCAGCAGCAGGTGACGTTGGACCAGTCTCTGAACGGTTCTGCGTCAATGGGAGGTCTTCAGCGCTTCGACGTTCAGTGACCCCGCCCCCAGAGGTCGCTTCGGCTAGTTTTCCCGGCGGGGGCCGGGAGATCGTGCGGTAGAATACCGCTGGGGCGTTGATGAAAATCGTCTCGGTGATGGCGAGCGTGACTGGCGCCCGGCAGACGGTGATGCATGCTGATGGGAGAGGTAGTTTTCGATGTCACGTGGTCTCTGGCCGTAACGGGGTGGCGGCGAGTACGCAGAGAAGCCGCGAAGCCCAAGACGGCGATATGGACACTGGTGGTACAAGTTATCAGCTTCTCCGCAGTAAAAGCATAGAGGCCGGTGATAGGGTGTGCGCCAGACATCAGACTTCCGAGGAGACAAGTGCCGATCGTCGATGTACTGTACCGGTTGCACCGAATGATGGGCGACAGAAGCACCACGGACGAAGGGCAGGGGCGGTGGCGTGTACGTACCTTCGTAGTATGGTATGTGTGCGCTGACTCGAGGGAAACTGATGGGACAGGATGAACGAACAATGGCGGCGATGCAGCAGGTCAGCGCTGGCATATGTCTGCAGATGTCTACGAGAGAATTCGGGCCACGTCGTCAGCTGCTCCTCTCAATTTTGATACCACGTGCGCGCCCCATCTTCGAGATAGAAGTAGACACGACCCAGTTTCGCCGCGTCGTCCCTCTGATTCAAGGTGGCTACGCGCTCGAAGTCC